GCATTATACAATATCATAAAATCACATTTGTTAATATCATCATCAGTCTTATTAGGAAAAGCCTTAAGAATCAAGAAGCTATTGAGTGTATGGCAGTGGATACAAGTTTTCCAAAATTTAAATTTTCACTTGAATTTTATAATTGACAATACTCTGTTACCATCCTTGAGGTGACAGGATCACTTCATTTACTTTTTTATGAAATTTTCCCAAATACCCAAGACTGAGACATAATTTATTAGTTGTTCTTCCAAGAAAAAAAAATTATATAAAAATAGTAGAAAAATAGGTTGAAGACCTTTAAATCCCATTGAAGAAACTGAAACTTTGTACTAGTAAAAGAATGATTTATTGAACAAGAAAGCAACATAATTAAAGGAATATATTAAGAAATTAGTGTGATGGTGGTAAACAGAGTGAATTTCAATGAGAAGTTTTAAGTTTCTGGGTGGGAATACAAGACATTAAATGTGATAAGCCAAAATCATTTTCTGTTTTGTTTTGTTTCTTCTCCTGCATGGTGGGTACATGGATGTTTCATTACTCTCTACAACTTACATAAACATTACCTGCATATATTTGCTATGAAATACACAAACCTAAGAAGAAAATAACATATCATGCAACTTTTATAATATGACTGTATCATTCATCATATGAACTTTTCTAACATGAGCTAAAAGAATTGCTGGCATGGAATTTTCTTCCCTGGATGCCTCCTCTGTTTAAAATAAATTGACTTGGAAATGGTAAAGATGTCTCTCTCAGCCCAATGAATTTTTTTATTATTAGAAAAATATTAACAGTTGAATAATGGGGGGTGGGGGGAGGGAAGGGGTAAGGGAGAGTAACAGATGGGGTTGAACTGAACAAAGTTAAATATATTCATACCTGGGATACATTGAGAAACTCCCTTGAACATTGACTCTGGAATTAAAAATGAAACACAGAACTATAAAATAGTTACAGGTGGGGGGTATTAGTGAGAGGAGGAAGAAAGATGAATGGAGGAGATGAAGGTGAGGGAATATGGTTGATGGGCTTCATATACACATAGGAAACAGAATGATGAAACCTCTCGCAACTGTTTTAAGTGGGACAGGGAGAGGGTCCAGGGGGAGATAGTGGGGACAATCTAACCAACGTACAATGTAAGTCTGTTTGGAATTGGCACAATGAATGCCCCCTGTACAATGAATATATGCTAATGAAAATGAAAAAACAAAAATATTACTTATAGTTATGCTTCATGAGGCAGTAACCTTAACTGTTAATTTAAAATTTGGAAACAAAATTTTATCTATCACCAATAGATTGGTCATCCAAACAGAAAAATCAATAAAGAAATCCTAGAACTGAATCACACCATAGATCAAATGGACTCAACCAATGTCTAAAGAATATTTCATCCAAATTCTGCACAATATGCATTCTTCTCAGCAGCACATGGAACATTCTCCAAAACTGGTCATACCTTAGGGCACAAAGCAAGCCTCAGCAAATATAAGAAAATAGAAATAATCCCATGCATTCTATCTGATCACAATGCATTAAAACTAGAACTCAACAACAAAAACAATAGTAAAAAACATGTAAACAGTTGGAAGCTGAACAACACATTGCTCAGTGATCAATGGGTCATTGATGAAATAAAAGAGGAAATTAAAAGATTCCTGAAAGTTAATGAAAATTAAAACATGACCTACCAGAACCAATGACACAGCAAAGGCAGTCCTGAGAGGAAAGTTTATAGCCATGAGTGCATATATTAAAAGGACAGAAAAATCTCTAATCAATGACCTAATGCTACATCTCAAACTCGTAGAAAAACAAGAACAAGCAAATCCCAAAACAAACAGAAGGAGAGAAATAATAAAAATAAGAGCTGAAATCAATGAAATAGAAACAAACAAAAAAAATACAAAGAATCAATGAAACAAAAAGTTGGTTCTTTGAAAAATAAACAAGACTGATAGACCCCTGGCAAACCTGACTAAAATGAGGAGAGAAAAAAACCTTTGAGAACCTATATTCTAATAAATTTGAAAACCTTGAAGAAATGGACAGATTTCTCGATACCTATGACCATCCAAAATTGAACCAAGAGGACATTAATCACCTGAATAGATCTATAACACAAAATGAAATTGAAGTAGCAATAAAGAGTCTCTCAAAAAAGAAAAGTCCAGGACCTGATGGATTTTTTACTAAATTCTATCAGACCTTTAAAGAAGAACTAATATCAACCCTCTTTAAACTGTTCCAGGAAATAGAAAAGGAAGGAAAACTTTCTAACTCATTTTATGAAGCCAGTATTACACTCATCCCAAAACTAGACAAAGACACCTCCAAAAAGGAGAACTATAGGCCAATCTCCTTAATGAACATCGATGCAAAAATACTCAATAAAATAATGGCAAACCAAATTCAACAACACATCAGAAAGATCATTCACCATGGCCAAGTCAGCTTTATCCCAGGAATGCAGGGGTGGTTCAACATAAGCATTTCTATAAATGTAATACAGCACATTAATAGAAGCAAAGACAAAAACCACTTGATCATCTCAATAGACGCAGAAAAAGCCTTCGACAAGATCCAACACCACTTCATGATAAAAGCTCTAAGAAAACTAGGAATAGAAGGAAAGTACCTCAACGTTATAAAAGCTATATATGACAGACCTACAGCCAACATCATACTTAATGGTGAAAAACTGAAACCATTTCCCCTAAAATCAGGAATGAGACAAGGATGCCCACTATCTCCACTCCTATCAACATAGTACTGGAATTCCTGGCCAGAACAATTAAGCAAGAAAAAGGAACAAAAGGAATACAAATAGGTAAAGAAACTGTTAAAATATCCCTATTTGCAGATGACATGATCCTATATCTTAAAGACCCAAAAAACTCTACCCAAAAACTCTTAGACACCATAAACAGCTACAACAAAGTGGCAGGATACAAAATCAACTTACAAAAATCATTAACTTTTCTATACACCAACAGCAAACAAACTGAGAAGGAATATATGGAAACAATTCCATTTACAATAGCCTAAAAAAAAATCAAATATCTAGGAGCAAACTTAACAAAGGATATGAATGATCCTTTCACATCCTTCATCACAGAAATTGAAAAAGCTACCCTAAAATTCACTTGGAAACACAAGAGACCACAAATAGCCAAGGCAATACTCCAGCAGTGCTGGCGGTATCACAATACCCAACTTCAAACTATATTACAAAGCAATAACAATAAAAACAGCATGGTACTGGCACAAAAGCCAACATGAAGACCAGTGGAACAGAATGGAGGACCCAGATATGAATCCACACAACTATGCCCACCTCATTTTTGACAAAGTCACTAAAAATATAAGATGGAGAAAAGACAGCCTCTTCAACAAATGTTGTTGGGAAAAGTGGTTAACCATCTGCAAAAAACTGAAACTAGATCCATGTTTATCACCCTCCACTAGTATCAACTCAAAATGGATCAAGGACCTTAATATCAGACCCCAAACTCTAAAGTTGGTACAGGAAAGAGTAGGAAATACTCTGGAAGTAATAGGTATAGGCAAGGACTTCCTCAATAGAACCCCAACAACTCAGCAACTAAGAGAAAGTATAGACAAATGGGACTTAATAAAACTGGAAAGCTTCTGCACAACAAAGGAAATGTTCTCTAAACTGAAGAGACCACCCACAGAGTGGGAGAAAATATTTGCCAGCTATACATCAGACAAAGGACTGATAACCAGAATATACAGGGAACTTAAAAAACTAAATTCTCCCAAAACTAATGAATCAATAAGGAAGTGGGCAACTGAACTGAACAGAACATTCTCAAAAGAAGAAATTCAAATGGCCAAAAAACACATGAAAAAATGCTCACCATCTCTAGCCATAAAGGAAATGCAAATCAAAACCACACTAAGATTCCACCTCACCCCTGTTAAGCTAGCCATCATCAAAAACACCAACAGGTGTTGCAAGGATGTGGGGGGAAAAAGGAACCCTCATACACTGCTGGTGGGAATGCAAACTAGTGTAACCACTCTGGAAAAAAATTTGGAGGCTTCTTAAAAATCTAAACATAGATCTGACATATGATCCAGCAATCCCACTCCTGGGGATATACCCAAAGGAATGCAGCACAGGTTACTCCAAAGGCACTTTGCACACCCATGTTTATTGCAGAGCTATTCACAATAGCCAAGTTATGGAAAGAGCCAAGATGCCCCCTACTGACGAATGGATTAAGAAAATGTGGTATTTATATGCAGTAGAATTCTTATCATTTGCAGGTAAATGGATGGAACTGGAGAACATCATTTTGAGCGAGGTTAGCCAGGCTCAGAAGACCAAAAATTGTATGTTCTCCCTCATATACGGACTTTAGATCTAGGGCAAATGCAGCAATGTGATTGGACTTGGGGCATATAATAAGGGGAGAGCATACGTGGGAGGTATGGGGATAGGTAAGAAACACAAAACATGATAATATTTGATGTTCTCACTACAGAGGAACTAATACAGAAACTTTATAGCGACAGATGTCAACGCGAGAAGGGGATCAGGAACCAGTGTAAAGATCAGTTAGAGATGAATCAACTTGGGTTGTAACACATTTGTATATGGAAGCAATGCTAGGAATCTCTCTGTATAGCTACCCTTAACTCAACTAACACAAACTCTTTGTCTTCCTTATTATGCTTATGTCTTCTCTTCAACAAAATTAGGGATAAGGGCAGAACAGATTCTGCTTGGAAGCAAGAGGGGGTGGGGGGAGAGAGTAGGAGGGTTGAGGGGAGAAATAGCCCAAATATCGTGTGCACATATGAATAAATGAATAAAATAAAATTTTGGAACACAATTTAATAATCCTCAATATTCATCGATAACTAGATGATATTTCATAAAGTAATAATAATAATAAATCTATGCTCTCATATTTGATAATATTACAAATTATTGAAACTGTTTTACTCTACAGGTTATATTATCACTGAAATACCATCAATCACACAGGATACCATGAGTGCTTTGCAGCAAGTAGAACTGATTAAAAATTTAAAATTAAAGCCTGATATAATAATCAATATTAAGGTAAGGATATTAGTGATTTTTCTAATATAGCAAACCATTCTTTTTGATAGTACTTATACTCAAGGAATATTTTCAAAATTTTACAGTAGTTATGGAAGTATTAATTTGTACATCAGTCATAAAGACTGTTATACTTTCTCATACTTCTGTGATTTTTTGCACCTGCAATTCCATCCACATGAAACACTTCCTTACCCCTTTACCAGTCTTAATCATAGCCATGCTTTGAGAGTCAGGTCAGGCATCTTCTCAACAGAACTTTCCCTGAAAACACTCTTCCCATCTCTCTCTTTCTCTCTCTCTCTCTCTCTCTCTCTGTCTCTTTCTCTCTATCTTGCCCTCTTACTTACCACAAAAGAGCTAAATGCTTCTCTGATGGGCATTCATGTTACTCTCTTCTCTCATATTACTCACCTCACTATATTATGATGGTCCATTTTCCTCCTGGTCTCTCTTACTTGAAGGTAGAAACTATGACTTATTTACATAAACATCAACTAGCATACTTTACAGTACCTAGTGACTCCTAAAAAGTTTACCAATTAAATAAAGTGGAAAAAATAGACTAACAATTCCAGTGTATAAATGTTAAATAGCACTGTAGTACATTGATTGAGTCAAGGCTAGGTCTTGTTTCTATTCTTTCCTTTATGGTCTATAAGAATTTGATAGATCACATTTAGAAACCTCAGTTTCCTCTTTACAAAGATGATAGTAGCTATCCCAAGGGGTTGTGCTAGAAATTCAGTGAGGGAATGTCTACTTGTTTATGTGAAAAGGAATGACAAGCTTTGTTCCTTTGCCTTGTTCCCCAAAGGGTTTGTTTATCTATTGCATAATATATGAATGGGAAATAAAAGCATATTCAAAAGGTTTTAAGTGATTTAATAATGTTATTCCTTAGTGCCCTGACTATGATTTGTGCCAAAGAATTTCTGGGCAAAGACAGCACAATAGTACGGGGTACATATATGCTAGAGATCAGTGGGATCCTGAAATCATTGAGAGTCGGAGGAAAAAGAAGAAAGATGCCCCAAAAGAAGGAAAAGCTGAAGAGGAAGAAGAGGAAGAAGAGCAAGAAGAAGAAGAGGTAATATCCCAACAGGTCATTACCATATACTACACTTTTAAATTTTGCTATAATTAAATTAAGTGACAATATCTTTTAAATGTTTTTATTGAGTCTAGAGGAGACAGGCAAAATATCTCATGCTTAAAACTGTTAGATATTAATCTCAAGGTCAAGGCCCTGGAACTAAATGAGTTGTGACCCCTGTATCTCACCATATACGTGTTATGATGGCTTTGATTTAAGGGGGTCACGATCCACTTAGCTCCAGGGGCCAGATGGGTTGTGTCAATTGCTGATGTCAGCCAAGATATAATGAGGAAGAGTGAGGACTAGGGAGGCTAGGGCTGTGCTATCCAATATAGTGGACACTAGCCCCACATGACTATTTAAATTAAAATTGTGTAAAATTCAAAATTTTATCTCTCAGTAGCACTAGCCACACCTCAAGTACTCAGTGGTCACACATGGCTGTGTCTTCCTAACTGAACAGTACAGACATAGAGCATTTCCACTATCACACAAAGTTTCATTGGATGGCTAGAGAGCACATACCCTTCTTCAGAGCACAGCTGCTTCTCAGCTCCTCCAGGGCCAGCTATGCTAGTCCACGTTTATCAAGAAGTCTACTTTTCCAGAGAAGCCCCAAATCAGGATTTTAAAATAACAGTAGCTAGCAATGATTCTAAAATGTTTAAAATATAGTGTAGGCCAATGCTGTAGGAGGTAATCAACTTATGTCCTTGTACTAGATTCAGCCTCTGGGGACCTTTTGCCTAGTAGCACAGCCATATTCAGAAGTTAGATGGGTAAACCTGCCGCACACTCAAACCAATGGCCACTAACTGCATGAAAGCGTGTTCATCCTCAGGTTCCTGAGAATCCAAAACATCTCCATGGGCTGCCACAAGAGCTTTGTAAATGCTCTCTTGGCTTCCACTCTCTTCCTCATCCCATTCCATTCTTTACAGAAGCCATATAAATAGATAGGTAGGCAGACAGACAGACATAGATAGAAAGACAGATTTAGATTAAAATCCAAACATTTCTAAAAAGTAAAAATAAATAAGTGAAAGTAATTTAATATTTTATTTATTCCAAGATAGCCAATTTTTTATTCAAACACGTAATAACATAAAAATTCTAAGAATGATGCATTTTGCTTTCATACTAGGTTTTCAAACTCAGATGTATATTTTACATATATAGCTCATTCCAATTTGCACTCACTAAATTTCCAGTGCTAATAGAGAGGTGTGGCTACCAGGCTGGACAGCACAGGTCTAAGCCTTTACCTTCTTTACTTTCCTCATAGCACTTGTCGCTGTCTGAAATTATATTACATTTTTACTTGCTTATGGTCTGTCTACCCCTTTGAGTGAATGTAAGCTTCATGAGGTACAACCATGTTGCTCCAGTGCCTGTAACAGTACTTGGCAGGTAGCTGAATGCAAAGTTGTGTGATGATTAAATGAGTGAACTCAGTGAGCATCCTAGCAATGCCCTCTACTAGAGACAGAAGAATGGGAGCATCTGTTGGAAAAGACAGTGTGTCCTGAGCCACTTTGAAATGCATGACCTTTGGTCCAGAAATTCTTGTTTTAGGAACCACTTGAGGGGAAATATTAGCAATATAAAGTTTTTATCTACAAAGTTGTTCACTGCAATATTATCAGTGTAAAAAAATTACTGCCCACCTATAGAGTAATGATTAAATAATCATATTTGCAAGGAAATTGTTATTTGACCATTAAAATGATATTTAAAACAATTATGAATGGCCTATACAGATGAGATGTAATTCAAATTGTGTAAAATATGTGTGTTCATGCATTGATAAAAACTGGAAAGAATGACTAGTTATGATACTAAATATGGTGTGAAACACTTAACCATGTGCCAGGCCTTGAACTAATAACTTTTACATGTGCTGTTCCCCCGGCCTTGAACTGTTCTTCCTCTAGAAACCTGCATAGTTCTCTCCTTCCTTCTGGTTTCAACTCAAATGTCACCCTTCAGAGAACGCTTTCACGACACCTGATATAAAATAACACCTTCTCTCATTACTCTCTGCTTTATTTTTCTTCCTAGTATTTATTCCCACCTGATATATTGTATATGTCTTTCCTAACTGCAACGAGAACTTTGTGATCCATTGTGTTAAATGATTTTGTTCAATATTGTATCTCAATCTCCTAGACCAGTGCTTAGAATACAGTAGGCACTCAGCATTTACTGCATGAATGAAGGAATGAATAAATGAACTGTAAGTTCAGATATTCATAGAAACTCTAATATCTCTATTTTGTCTTCAAAAAGCTAACTTTCTTCCCCTGCTCTTCTCTGCTTACTGAACAGCAAAAAAAAAAAAAAAAAAAAGTATCCACTTCAATTAAAGCTTTGTTTCATCTCAGAAAGACTCTTAGTTTAATCTCTTTAAAAAAAAAACAACAAACTTCAATCTCTAATCTTCCCCTTCCCCTTGCTTCTTACCACAAAATGATACGTAAGCAGAAGGAGGGATAGATGTGGCTTATAAATTAGATAACCACTGGCCCAGTGATAGCTAATAGCTAAAAATTTCTGCTTCCCTTTAGGCATTCATGGCGGAAATGCAGATGGTAGCTGAAATCTTTCAACATCTAGTTCAAAGGCCTGAGGATTGTTTGGAAAATATCCAAGACATTATCAAACTTTATAAAGACACAATTCTTCATGCTTTAGAAGTAAGAACAAGATACACTGATGAAAAATGGAATGTGGGTATTTGTGTTTTGTCTCTGGTTAAATAGCTCTCATGTCTTTTTCTTTACCTACTGTTTGATTCTCCTCTTGAACTTGGAAGAATGCTGTTAGGGAAAAAGCTTTCATCTCAAAGGCTCTTTTCCACAACAATATTGTTTTACTCTTACAGGGCAACCCTGTGGCTGAAAAGTGACAAATGAACTGCATTTTTAAAGTCACTCAGGGAACTCACTTATGGATGGAGGCTGGAATATTCATGTTAACAGGCTGTGTTGTAAAAACATTTTCAATCCATAACTTATGGGCTTATCAAAACAACTACAAGTTTAATATGTACTTTTTGTTTTAAAGGGAATTGTTAATTTAGTTCAATTATAATCTAAAAAATTGCTATCCCCAGATTCATTTCTATGGTTACTTCATGCAAAGTTGATTACATATAAACATGATAAGAACATTAGTAAAGTTTTAATTAAAATAATTAGTATTTTAGATGTATGATTACTGAGATTACAATTATGTGAAAAACATATTTTATATGTTCAAACTCCAAGGAAGACTGCCAAATATAACCACTTGTCTTAGAGATTTAATCAACAAATATTTTTTAAACTTGAGTATTCAGGCAGACATTATGGTAAGCAGTAAAACTATGAGGACAAATTTTAAAATGTCCTAAAATTGCCTCTTCTGATAGAGAAACTAAAAGAATTTGTTTTGTGCTGTCTTAAAATGCTTTTATTTAAGAAAAAAACCCAGCTAGACATGGCAGCATACAATCCCAACTACTCAATAGGTAGAGGCAGGGGGATTGTGAGTTCAAGGCCAGACTGGGTAAAGGTAGCAACAAGAGCCTGTCTTAAAATCAAACAAACAAAAAAAATGGGCTGAGGACATAACTGTTGACTAGCACACTTTGGGTTCAATCCCTAACATTTTGAGAAAGAAAAAAAAAAAGATGGATCATTTTCATCATCATCTATCCCCCAAAATGTGAACTAAATTTAGTTGTTTTCTTAAGTTTGACTTGTATTCCTTCCTACCTCTTCTGTCACTAGCCTTTAAACATACCTTCTTAAGAGTAAATTACCTGACTACCAATAAAAGTATCCTGAGTACTCCCTAAGTAGCTGACACTGAGTGTGAAATACAGCAGAATTAAAGTCAGATTCAGAGCATTAGAAAATGATATTTATGGGAGGAAAACTGTCTCTCCAGGGACAGGGACTAGACCATTCATGCAGCATTGTCCATTTCCAGTGCAGTGCCCAAAGTCTGGAAGTGGTACATGCCTAATAGACGTTCAGCTGAACAAATGACAAGATCACAAAGAAAAAAGAGCAGCCTCAATTCAAACTTCTGACAAATAAATAAATAGATAAAACCTCACTCAAGTTAAAAGACAACTAAGTAAAAAAAAATCTCACCCACTAGGATAAAAGATTTAAAGCTTTGATACCTAAAAAGTTCATAGAAATTTTTAAATCTGTGAGTTCACACCCTCATGAAACAAATAGACAAAAAATGTGAGCAATTAACTCACATGAAAGTCAAAAGGATAAAATGCCTGTAGAAAAACTGTTTAGCCTCACTGATAACAAAGAAATACTCATCTAAACAATGGAATGTCATTTCCATGATCAAAGTTAAAAAGATGAACAATGATAGGAATTCTTAATGCCAGCAGGTATGTGATGAAGCACTCTTCAGCACTCCTCAAATGAATATCAATTACTATGACCACTTTTAGTAACTTATCCACAAAAAAGCCCAGAAGAGGAAAACTTCTAGACTTTGTATTAAAACATAGATAAAGAATGCCTTGCCCTCGTACCAACAAAGCAAGAATTTCAAAGTCAAAAACCTAGACTTTCGGAGTAGCTGACAGTTGCTGGATAGTCAAATGAAGCCTTATCCTGGAATTCCAGGGTACTGGTATGTACAGGAAGGGAGAGTCATAGAAGGTAAGAACTTACAATTCCAGTCTACTTTGACCTGGATAAAATGTCACTTCTCTTGGAAGCAGCGTGTCTCCAAGAAATGGAAGGAAAGCAAGAGGGAGCAAACTACATTGCATCATTTTCTACTATGTCCTGCACACTGCTTCAGGGATAAACCAATGCCAGGTCCTCACTCTTGCTTGTCTTTAACTTCTGGCACAGGTATCCATTTCCTTAGGAGTGTTCATACCTGTCAATTTAGTAAATCCACCCTTAAGAACATAGTATAAATGCCTGGCATGGTGATGCATGCCTATAATCACAGTACTCAGGAGGTAGAGGCAGGAGGATCATGAGTTTGAGGCCAGTATGGACTACGTAGCAAGACTGTCTCAAAAAAAATCTTACTTATGCATTCAGTATATCAGCATGTAGTAAAAAGATGCTCACTCAGTGTTCTGGAACATTTATATGCATGCAATCTCTGTGTCAATGTGGAGAATGGGAAGAAAATAGACATGTTGGTTAGGGAGGAGCAGAGGAGTAACATGACCTGTTTCTGTGTGCTGGTCTGCATCCTTTTACTGGTTGCTGTTAATATAGGGTACTTCTGTAATCATTGAAGAAGAATGCTAGTTTTTAAAATTAAGAAAATAATGAGGCTGGATTGTTAGTACAAGTGGTAGAGTGCTTGCCTAGCAAGTTCAAGATGCTGAGTTCAATAGTTCAGTAGTAAAAAAAAGAATAAGAAAAAAAGGAGGAGAAGGAGATGAAGAAATGCTTGAAAACAACTAAAAAAATAGCAAGGAATATTAAATAAACTGTGCTATAATATGTTACAGGTAACTTTACAAAAGCAGTAAAATGTGAAATTGACAGTCTTCTTGAAAAGTCTAGGGAAAGTTAATGTTAGTGTAAAGTGAAAAACTAAGTGAGTTCCAAAGTGATATGTACACTATGATCTCAAACACGCAAAATTTTCTCCATGAAAAATAACGGGAGGAAAACAGTGGTAGTAATAGTTGCTTCAGATGACTTGATTCGAGACATGCTTTCTTCCTACTTTTTTTTTTTGTGGTAATGGGTAATGGCTTTGAACTCAAAGCCTCATGCTTACTAGGCAGGGACTCTACTACTTGCACCCTTTTTAAAGTTATTTTTCAGGTAAGGTCTCATGTCTTTTGTTTTGGGGCTTTTGGAGGGAGGGGTTATTTAGGGTCACTCTGGACCTCAATCCTTCTACCTATAGGGACCATAGGCATACACCACCATGGTGGGCTTATTGATGGAGATGGGCTGACCTCAAACCAAGATCCTTCTGATCTCTACCTCTTAAGGATCTGAGTCTTTCTACTTGTCTATTTTGTATATTTTCCATAAGAAAATTTTGTCTAAAATTATGCTTAAAATGATGTTAGTATCTACATGAAGAAAGTAAATCAGACTCTTCTATGGTTTCAAAAGCAGATAGCAAAGCTACAAATATATGCAGATAGACAGATGCCCTGAGTTATTTTTGTATTGGGAAGGACTTTAAGACTTTAGAGAAAAAAATTTAAAGGACAATAAAATTTGTGATAAGGGGCTGAGGACATGGTTCAGTGACAGAGCACTTGCTTAGCATGGACAAGGCCCTAGATTCAATCTCCAGCACCTCCAAAGCTATTGTTTTTTTTTTTTTTTTCACAGTAACAAGGTTAGTTTGGGCTTTTGCAAAAGATATCTTGAATGCTGAAAATAGCCTGCATTATAGCATGTGTAAGGCAAATAAGTTAGCTTTAAATAATTCCTCACAGTATATTAAAATGAAAAATGTATTCCATTTTCCCAGGAACCCCAGATTATAAGATTTCTTTTCTATTATCTGCAGGAAGTAATGGCCGAACATGATCCCCAGTATCTCATTGAACTGGATGGAAATCAGTCACCAGAGGAACTCTTCACAGTAAGTTCCAGGTTCAGTAAAAGTATCTCAGTTGGAAAATTTACAGCGTTGTACTTAATAAAAAGAAATATGGTTACATTTTTATAGCATTAATTTTTGAAAATTTTATCTTGATGCTTTAAAATTCAGTATTCTATTTATTCATGCTCACCTTTAAAACAAAACTGAATTTGAATTTAAAATCCCTTTATGAAAAAAAGCAAAGTGCCCCAAGAAAATGAAAAGCAAATGGCAACCAGGAAGTGCATAGATGTTTATCATCCTCAGTCACTAGGGAAATGCAAATCAAAACCAGAATGAGATATTACTTTACACCCACTAGGATAGCCAAAGTTTACAAACAAACAAACAAGAAAAGAATAACAAATGTTAGTAAGGATGTGGTGAAATTGGAACTCAAAAGTACTTTATAAAAAGATAATTGAAAAATGCAGCCTCTGTTTCTTAAGCATCAAATAAGTGCCTAGCATTGCGATAACTCAAGGGATGCCGATGGGGAGGAGGCACGAGTCAATGCCCTCATGGAGTACCCGTATCCTGGAAAAAGTCAAGATTTAAATGATGGCTTGTGTTCTTATAGGAGCTCCTGACAGAAGGCAGAATGTGGTCTGGTAAGGTGGGCCACCCGTCTGAAATCTCGCATAGCAAATTTAAGGCTAGAGAAAGAGGCTGGGGTAGGACGGTGTTCTGTGCTGAGGGAAGGGTCTGTGCAAAGGCCCTGGAGGCAAGAAAAGAGTAGAGCATGTTATGGGAAGTCAATGTAGGACACAGATGAGATAAAAGGAATGGAATTGTGCCAAGGCTCTAGAATCAAGCAGAGGGTGCCCCCTCCCAAAAAGACCTGTGAGTCATGCGAAGGAGTTTAGACCTCAGCCTCGTCACAAGTGACCAGCATCCTGGGGAAGGTTTGAAGCCAGAGAATGAAAACGATCCTGTTACTCTTTGAGAAAGATCACCAGACTGCAGTGTTGGGAAGAAACAGAAGGGGAGTCAAATTGGTGGTAGTGAGGCAGGCTAGGAGCAGGGAAAATTCAGGACCCATCTGCAGGTTGCCCAGGGATGGCCAGACCATCCGCACCTGGCCAGAATTGCCCATACCTTTCCCCACGCATTGATTATTGGATGGACTTCACCTGGTTCCTCCCTTCCTAGATTAGGGAAAGTTTTATTTATTTTTTATTCTTTTTTATTTTTTGGTGGTACTGGTGATTGAACTCAGGGCTTCATGTTTGCTGCTGAGCAGTTTACCACTTGAGACACTCCACCAACCTAGCATAAGTTTTAAAAGTACCTAACAAGAGAAGCACTCTCTCTCTCTCTCTCTCTCTCTCTCTCTCTCTCTCTCTCTCTCTCTCTGCTGGCAGACTCCACCTGAGCCCACCATGCTCTCATTTGTATTTCCCTTTCCCTAACATTTAATAAACTCCCTTTACACTGTGTGTTCTGCCATGAATTCTTCCTGGTACGTCACAAAGAATTTGGAAGTCTTCTGATCAGACTGCACCAGCATAGTTAAGAGTAGTAAGCCTGGTTTTAGATTTACAGTCAATTAAATAAAAGATGGTGGCCTAACCCAGGACAGTGACAGTAGAAATATAAGAGGCCAGATCAGAGATCTATTAAGAAGTGGGGCTTGGTGAGTAGCAGCATAGAAATTAAGAGAGAAAAATCAGAAATAATGCCTAGATTTCTGGCTTTCCAACTGGTGGAGACATGAAAGAATGGTAGTGGTGTGGCCAAATGAAGGGGAAGCTCCCCCTTTGGACAGGCTGTGCCAGGATTACCACTGATCTCCCATTGGCCAAAGAGCTCATCTAATGTAATCTGGAAGTGACATTTGACACAGCTGGTCACCTCGTCCTTCCTGCTGTCTTCTTCCCTTGGCTTCCTCTAGTCCTGCAACAATAGCTCTGTTACTCCTCCCTGGACAACCTGAGCATTGGAGCTCTCTTCTCTGTCTGCCCTCACCCCTTAGGAGACTTCATTCAGTCTAGCAGCTTTAAATACCTCCCAGCACTGTCACCTCTTAATTTTGTATTACTGTCCCACGTCTTTCCCCTGAATTCCACACTGGTGCACACAGCTGCCACTCAATTGGTATATATCCAATTGAATACTCATCTCAGACTTAAATAGGTAAGATAACATCCCACCACCATTACTACCACCACCCACCCCAAATGTGCTCCTCCAGGCTTTCCTCTTCCAGTCAGTGCCAACCCCATCCTGCCACTGCTCTTCTTCTCTTTGCTTTTCTCATATCCACATCTGACCCATCAGCACACATAGCAGACTTCTTCAAAGTGCACCTGGAGTTCTGCTTTTCACTACCTGGACACACTTCTCTAGAGGCCAGAAGCTCCAAGAGGCCCGATTAAAACTTGCAAATCTGTCAGGCTCCAGTTTGGAACTGGTACTCTGGCACTTCTGCCCACTTTCCATTTACCAAAGGAAGTTACATGGAGAGCTTCCTTTCCATTAAAATGGAAAGGAAGTCTACATGAAGCTAGGGAATTAACAAGTGAACCGAGGGAAGGCTGAATTGAGAACAAACAATTTACCATACACCCTCCATATTTTGTCTATCTTGTTATCTCTCACCTCAAATTCTTTGTGCTATCCTATTTTTTCTAGATTTTTTTTCACACTGTTTCAATTTCTTTAGAGTTGCCATAATAAAGTAGGTAGCTTAAAATTCTCTCATCAGTGTGGAGGATAAGAACCCAGAATCAAGGTGTCACGGGATGGTGCTCCCTCCACATCCTCTAGAGGAGGACCCATCCTTGCCTCTTCCAGCTTTGGGCAGTCCCAGGCATTTTATGACTAATTGCAGCACAACTTCAATGTCTACCTCCACATCATATAGCTTTCTTCATTTTGCTTAAAGTGGTCCAGCACCAGATAACAGAGTGTTATGGGTCGAAATGTGTCCTTCAAAAAGATATTTTAAAGCCCTAACTTCAATACTTGTGAAAGTGATCTTACTTGGAAATAAGGCTGTTGCTTATGTAATCGAGTTTAGATGAGGTTATAGTTAATTAGGGTGAGTCTTAGTCAAAAAATGGATTAGGAGAAGAGATTAAGAGCCCCTGGGAGATGATGTGACAATAGTGACAGATATTGGAATGATTCATATACAAATCAAGAAATACCAAGGATTGCCAGCAAACCACAGAAGCCAGGAAGAAGTGATCAGGGATTCTACCCAGGATCTCACAGGAAGCATAGACTTGAACCATGGGCCCATCACTTTTTCAGAATGTTTGAGATAGTCAAATGCCAATGCATTAAGATATTTGTTCTTTACATTTAGACAGTTATAGAACGACTGAAATATCTGAACCTAAAAAGAGCAGCTGTTTTGACCAAACTTCAGAGTGCAGAGGAAGAAATGAGTGATGTGATGGAAAATGTAAGTTATGTTCATTTATTTGAAAGTCTACCCACTCAATATGGGTTGTAACATTAGTTTGTATCTTCTAAGGTCTAAAAGGAACTTCAGGATACCTTTGGATAAAAGGTATCCTCTGGAAAGAATCTATAATATTAGCATAATATTCTTCCAAATACTAACTACAGAAAACCAAAAGTTTCAAAACAAAACCAAAAAAGGTAAATTCCTCAGAGTAATTAACCTGAGGAATACTGTCTTTAAAACCAAGTTCACTTTAAAATGTTTATAGCACCAAAGAAAGCAAAGACATAAACACACTCAACTCTGTCAGCACTCATTCCTTCCTTGTATCATTCAACCAAATGTTTGGACTAACAACTGTTTTTGGTACTGATGGGCCAAGAATGTGTTAGTGACCAAATTGTAACCTTCAAGAGCTCAAGAGACCACAAGGACTTTTAGTTGAATGGTTTGCTCTATGGAAAGTTTGGGTTTATTTATGTATTCACACAATTTAAAAAATTGATGAAGATGTACTGGGGGTACATTGTGACATTTACAAAAGTTCTTACAATACATCATAGTTGAATTTACCTCTTCCATCATTCTCCCTTATCCTCCCTACCCACTTTGAGACTAGTTTCAACAGGTCTCATTAATTAAAAAAAAAAGAACTGGATCATAAGTAGATATCATAATTCAAATAAAATCATATTTGGAGAGGTCATTTTGTTATCCTATTTCATGTAACCTGTAGATCTCAGTGGGTCACTGTGGTTGAAATCATGCTGGGCCTCAGTAATACAAATTGATGCTGAAGAGGAAAAAAGATGAACTCAGAGGCTAGGAAAAATATCTGTGTTTGTTTTTCTTTGTGCTTAACTTTATCATAAATGGCCAGAAGTTGTGACTGTATTCTCTGGAGTCATCACTCATATTCCTTAAGCAATGCTTCTCCCTGGCAACACAGAGCACTTCCAAAAGAGTCAACTGGAAAGTTTAATACAAATTCCTTAACTCCATATTCCAGGTTGATTGATCCAGAATGTCTGGAGGTGGGACCTAGAAATATATTTTTATAGGATTCAGAATAGATTCTTATACCCACTTAAATTTAAGAATCATTACTTCAACATTTGACACAGCCTGGCTGATTAAAGTTGATTGATCTGCAAGCTCATATGTGTTTTGAAGAATTTTAGATGAATGCTTTTCACCCAAAGACAGATGATTGGGCTGGAGGAGCAGCTCAAGTTGTAAGAGCACTTGCCCAGCAAGTATGAGGCCCTGAGTTCAAACCCCAGTGCCACCAAAAAACTGACTCTAAAACTATGCAAAAAAAAAAAAAAATACAGGTGATTTTTAGAGAATAATGGGAATGCTTAAAGCAGTGATCTTTAACCCCGACTGCACTGTGGGGTCATCTACGGAGCTTTTTAAATATGCCAATGCTCAGGCCAGTTAAAACAGAATTTCTGGGATAGGGATCTGACATTAATTAAAACAAAGCAAAACAGGATTTGGCACCAATGGCATAGGAGACAACAAAAAAACAGATAGATTAGGATGAAGATAGTATCAGAGAAGTTAGTCATGTGAGTGAAATCCTTAGGGTTATGAGTGATTATTTTACTTTGGAGCATCATTTTACATATGGCCAAATTCCTGTGTTTCAGTGATTTTTTAGTTTTTCTGGCTCGTATATACTGTCAGCCCTTGTAGAGTTAGAAGCAAAGCTTTCCAAATTTAAATCCATTTCTCCTCGATCCACATCCTCACTCCTTCCCATGATTAGCCAATAAATGTTTGTTAAACTGAAAAAAAAATAGATAGTTTAGGCTTCATCAAAATTAAAAACTTTTAGGACTGGGGCCATGGCCCCAGGTAGAGCACCTGTCTAGCAAGCATGAGACCCTGAGTTCAAATCCTAATACTGCAAAAGAAAAATTGAAAACTTTTGTGCATCAAAGGATCCTATCCACAGAGTGAAGAGGAACAGCATGGAGAATATTTGTGAATCATATATCTGTCAAAGAACTCCAATTCTATAATACAAGAACCCAATTCACAAATGAACAAGAGACTTGAAAAGACATTTCTCCAAAGAAAACATAAATGGCCACTAAGAACATGGAAAGTCATTCAGCACCACACTCATAGAGCAATGTCAATCAATAGTACAAGGAGACACCACCTTCTGCCTATTAGAGTAACTGTTATCCAAACAGGAAATAAAGTCTTGGCAAGATGTGGAGAAGCTGGACTCCTCTTGCATTGCTGGCTGGAGGTGACACCATGAAGCTACTGTTCAAAACAGTTCAGTGGCTCCTCAAAAAGTTAAACAAAGAATTACCATATTAACAGGGGAGAGGTGTGGCTCAAGCAATGGAGTGTCTGCCTAGCAAGCATGAAGCCCTGAGTTCAAATCCCACTACTTTTAGGTATTTCCCCTCAAAGAACTGAAAGCAAGAAAATCAGGAACTCAAACAGATTGTTGTGCTCCAATGTTTATAGCAGCTATTTTATCAATAGTCAGAAGATGGAAACATTCCAATGTCCGTCAGTGGGTAAACTGATAAATAAAATATGATAATATTTATGATGGAATATTATTCAGCCTTAAAAAGGAATGAAATTCTGAATCATGATGAAATATGAATGAGCCTTGAAATATTATGCTAAGTAAAAAAAAGCCAGACACACACATGAAAAAAAACCCCACAAATGTTATGGTTCCACTTATATGAGGTACCTAGAGTAGGCAATTTCATAGGGATTGAAAGTAGGATAGAGATTACCAGGGGTTAGGGAAGGGAGAATGGGTAGTTATTATTTAGTTGGTAGAGTTTCTGTTTGGGATGGTGGAAAGTACTAGAAATGGATATTGGTGGGGTTTCCACATTGTGAATGTACTTTTAATACTACTGAGCCACACACTTAAAAATGGTTAAGAAGATAAAGTCTGGGTTATACAGATTTTACCACAATTAAAACACAAAAGCAAAAATACTACCTGGAAGATTCTACGCAGCCAGGGAAAAGACCTGCTGGTTTAAAGGCTAAGAGAGGGACAGACCTTCAGGAGTACTCTGGCTCCCGGTGGGAGGTAGGAGAGCTGGAGGAGAAGGGGCATGGTGGAGGAGGTGGGGACATGGGGTGGGGGTGTGACAGGAGGAAGGACAGTGCCAGATTGGTGTCCAGCACAGTAAGGGTAGGGAACAACATTGGTTTTCTAGTCAGAGTGACCTGGATTTGAATTTGAGCTCCACAGTCTACCAGATGTGAACTTTGTGTAACCCTTAGTCAACAGTGGCTTCCACAGTAGTGTTATTGTAAGGGTTACATGAGGCCACACTTGGAAAGCGCTGGGGACCAATAGTGACATTCAGCATAGCAGATGGATTGAGGGCCAGGCTGGCTTTGTGGCTTCACATGGGAAGCCCCACCCTAGCTTGATTTTGTGCTGGTGCAGCCTTGGAATTCTTACTATTTTTAGGACAAGGGCTCTGTCATTTTTTTTTTTTTATCCTGGGTCTGGTAAATTAGCCTATTCAGTGCAAGGTCACACTGAATCACAATAGAGTCTCTAGAAGAACTGACAATACCTCTTGTGCCACAGTAACTATTTAGACGCTGGGTCAAAGGAAGGTGCACAGGTCCTTCTGAGAGAGGCTGAGGTAGGCTGTCAGTGACCATCACTGCCCGTGCTCTTGTGCCCCACCCTATCCTCAACCTTGCTTGGGTCTGGGATCCTCCTCATAGGCTCTTCTGGCCCAGACTGCAGAAAGTGTGTCTATTCTTCCAATTGAGAGAGAGGTACATTGACTAAGAAGCTGGCACATTTTTTAAACTTTTCAATAAGAATTTTTCAGAATTTGGTTTTTGAACCAGATGATAGAAAATGTTCAGTAAAATTTAAATAAGGTTTTCTTACAGAAATGAAAACAAGTCTTACTAAAATTAAAAACAAGTGCAAAATGTTGTAATTGAGAAAAAAGCCAAAATTTGCATTCCAAATTATTTCTTAAGTAGTAAAGCACTATCACATAAGAAGTAAAATATTTAATACTGCTAATTTCAACAAAACGTACACCCACATTTTTAAATGCAGTATTTATATCTCACAGGAAGAGCTGTTCCGCACTCTTTCATCTTATAAACTTATTGCACCACGGTATAGATGGCAGAGAAGCAAATGGGGACGTATGTGCCCTGTGGCTTTAAAAGAAGGTAATATTTATCCAGGATTAGGAGATTTTGCTGTGAGGTAAGTGAGATTTTCCAAACTTAACTTTCAAAGTTTTCCATGCATGTTTTCAGTTGTTTATTATTATGGCACATTTTAAGTTTTCTAGGTAAGATGTACTGTCTGTCATCAGAAGAAGCGTTAAAAGCATTTTTGTTAAATCCACGTCCTTATCTTCTTCCACCGATGCCACTACCACCATGTAAATTATTCATATTTGGACCTCACTGTTCAGGGAGAACAACACTTAGCAATTTGATTGCACAACACTACAAAGGAAAGGTAACTAGCTGTCATCTGTGTATCTATCCTCAATTATAAGTTATAGGATTTTATTTGTACACAGTTCTCTTAATTTTACACTGTCAACTATGTAATTGTTCCACTGGACATGGTGCTATTAGCTCTTTCAGTCCAGAAGCCCCCAGGTTTCAGTGGCATGTCATCCACTCATCTCCCGTTTTCTGGGTGACCCTTCTCCCAGCTCACTCTCCCATCCTCCTAATTCACTGTTTATTTTGTTGCTATTGTTGTTTTCTGGGTATGTTATGTTATGTTATGTTATGTTATGTTATGTTATGTTATGTTATGTTATGAGACAAGGCTTTGCTATGTAACCCAGTCTGGTCTCCAATTCGCAATCCCTGCCTCAGCCTCCTGAGTGCTGGATGTACAGATGTGTGCCAGCACATCTGGCTTCTGCCCTGACTCTTAGTGATTTCAATATTACAAAGATGATTCTCCTAACACCCTGGTCTGTCAGTTCTTTGACCTCTTCTTCTTAGTGATCTTGTCTTCCACTTTCAGTAAATGAGCAAAAATTATTCTTAGCATAGACCAGAACGATAGAAGTAAAGGTGGTAAGAAGCAGGCAGACTTGGGATATAATTTGAAGACAGAGCCAAAGAATTTGATGAGGGCTTGGAAACCATAAGACTGTCAATGTGTCTAGAGTGTTGCCTGTTGAAGGAGGTATGGCGCAAAGTGACACTGGAGATGTAGGCAGAGTGTGCAGGCCTTGGGAAGATTTTGAGTTCCTGGAAAGGGTATGAGAGTTCTGTTATTCAAGGTACTATTGAATTCTTTTAAGCCCAGGGGAACATTTTCTATTTAGTTTTAATTTTTTGTTATGAAATATGACATTCAGAAAAGTGAAGCTCAATGAATTATCACAGAACAAAAGCCTTAGAACCACCACTCAGGCCAATTACGGACTATTCCCAGCACCCCTGCAGCCTTTTCCATACCTCTTCCCATTACCCACCCCACATATCCCCACAAAGACAACCGCTGCCTTGAATTTTATTACACTTACTTCCATCCTTTTTTGGTTTTATCACAGAAGTATAGCCACACACCATCCATTAGTTTTGCATGCTTTTAAGGAACTTTATGGACTTAAACAATTTATGGCCTTTGTTTCTGGTTTCCTTCATTTAACTTATGATTGTGAGATATATATATATATATATATATATATATATATATATATGTTATTGCATTCAGCTAGCTTATTTTATTGTTTCACTATATTCCCTGGTTTAATTATATAATAATTTATTCACATCAGAGTGGTAATAAAAATTGGGTTGATTCCAAATTGGTGTGTTATAAATAATACTGCTATAAACATTCTTGTATGTGTCTTTTGGCTCACATATACACATATTTGTATTTTGGAGCTACATCTAGGAGGACAATTTCTGGAACATAAGAGTGTATATATGCTCAACTTGTGTAGACAATGCCAAACTAGTTCTTATTTGCATTCCTGCCAGTAGGGTATGAGAGTTCAGTTATTCTACACTCCTGCCAACTCTTGTTATGGTCAGTTTTTCTCATTTTAGCCACTTACTGGACACTACTGAGAGTCCAGTAGTATTCAGCATAGTTTTAATTTACATTTCCCTATTGGCTAATTAGGTTGAGCATTTTTCATATGCTTACTGGCTATTCAAATAGTGACTTTTTGAGTATGCTACCCATTTTTGTTGTATTTTTACATATTAGTAGGAGTTACTTACACTGTCTATACACCAAGATTTTTGTTGCTTATAAGCAATATGAATATTTTCTGTCACTCTGTGGTTTGCCATTTCGCTTTTTAATGAACAGAAGGTCCCGATTATAATGGAGGATGGCTTATTAACCTGTCCTTAATTATTAGTGCTGTTTTGCATCACACTTATGAAATTTTTGCTCATGAAGCATTGTGAAGTTACTGTCTTATATTAACTTCTAAATCCTTTATCATTTGACTCTCACATTTAGATATATAATCCACTTTAAATTGACTTTCTTGTGATATGAAATATGGAGAAAATTTTACTTTTCCCCATGTGTCCCAGCATTATTTAAGAAAAGACTGTCCTTAACTCACTGTTTAGTGGCCATTCAGACAGTGTCTTTTTAAAGAGTTTGTTCAGGTGTCTATACATGTGTGTCTGTTTGGGAGCTCTGTGGTCTACTCCATCATTCTATTTTGCTATCCTTGTGCAGTGGTACATTGACTTATTATTGTAGCTTTCCAATAAGTCTGTGTCAGGTAAAGCAAAGCCTTCCATCTTGTTTCCTCTGTAATGGACATTGACTATTATTGGTCCTTTGTAGTTTTACATAGGAAAATCTTTGGAGATTTTAATTGGCATTATATCAGGTCTGTAGATCAATGGGAAGAATGGATCTCTTTACAATGTTGATTCCTCTAATTCATAAATATTCATGATATATCATGAATTCATAAATATTCATGATATATCATGAATTCATAAATATTCATGATATATCATGAATACAATTCATAAATATTCACGATATATTCTACCATTTATTTAAAAAATTTTTTATCAGTAGTAATTTAGAGTTTTCTGTGTAGAAGTTTGCATAGACCTCTAGATATTTGGTAAGATTCAAAAGTATTATAGATAGTATCATTTTAAATTACTAAAATATTTTCCTTCTTTTATTTTGAATGTAATATATAGTTTTCTTTAATCACTGAAGAAATCACACCTAACAACACTTCTAATATTAAGCGGCACTTTCAATTTTCTTAGACAGTGGAAGGGTCCCATAATTCAAGCATACCCTTAAAATATATAGCCAGTTTTTTCCTGTAAAACATCACTTGGTTTTTAATACTCAAGCCTCATACATCATACAGAACTCCCAATGCAACATTTCTCAAACACTCTAAAACAAAATGCCACATTTTAATTAAAAGTACACAGGAAAGTATTGTTATACATCCCAAATACAACTGGTAGCATATTGAATTCATGTGTAGGTATTTGGAAATTTTCTTCCTGTGTCTAATGGATCAAATGTTGCTGGCCCTAGACTGGGGACATGACTCAAGTGGTAGAGCTACCTGCTTAGCAAGTATGAGTACCTGAGTTCAAACCCCAGTACTCAAAAAAAAAAGTTGATGGCCTCAAGAAAGATCATACTATTACTGAATGCAAAACAACTGTCACCAATCATGCTAATTGTTTGGTGATGTTTTAACTACGTTTTAACTATGTCCAAACAGGATAATCTGTTACTTACATCTAAATATTTTATTATATTTTAGTCACATGATAGAATTTGAGTCAATGCACTATAATTTTCCCACTTAAAATCATGAGAAATTATGATCTACGACCCTCAGAATCTGTGAAATAATAAGTGTTTGTTGTTTTAACGCAAAAGTTTTGGGATAATATGTTGAGATGTTAGACAAATGGACAATTATATACCCAAATTATTTTTGAAGATGAATTATTATCGTTCATCAAACTATAAAACATCTTTTATACAAGGCCTCAATTTTTTTAAAAATTTCTACAATAGCCTGGGAAAAAATCTTTGAAGTCAATATAACTAAAAGAGTGTTTCTGACACTGTGTACATAGTGTATATACAAATCAAAAAGAAAAAGACAAGCCACATTGGAAAAATAGACAAAAGATAGTTAGAGAAAGTCACAAAAGATAAATTGCCAGTGGATAAAAACTTATGAAAAGATGTCTAGTTTCATTAGAAGATAGGAAAAATAAAACAACAAAATACCATTTTCACCCTTAAGTATGAAAAAAAGAGAAAGGCAACTTCTGTTGCCAAGGATGGCATGTACAAATGGCAAGTTTATAAAACTGTTAGAGGAACTATTAATTGGTCCCATCTTTAAAAAAAAAAAAAAGCAATCCTTAAATTCCAGCCATGACAGAGGAGCTAGACCCTACCGTGTGGTCCTTAGGATATGAGGAACTCAGGCTGTGAACCACACTATTACTCCAGCCATCTGCTTGGAACAATTTCCTTTCTACACCAAGCAGAGCATGGTGCTTCTACTGAGCTGAGGAGGCTGAGGTCAGAGATCTGAAGCAGCCAGAACTGTGAAGTGGAGTGTGAGAGAAAAGAGAGATGTGAGGTGAGACAGACATCTGTGTGGCCCTGGAGCTGCACATATACCAGGTGAGACTTCACAAAGTTTACCAGAGGATATGGATCTTACAATGTCATGAGTGAAGCAGAGACCAGAAGCTGAGCAGACTTTAAAGTAAGCATAAGTCGAACATACACTTATAAAGAAACAAGTGAGTGGCCAATAAGCTTATTAAAAGAAGTTCAAAGTTATTTATGATTAGGAAAATCTAAATAGTAACTACAATGAGAAATTTCTTCACATCCACTAGAATGGCTAAAATTTAAAACATTCACAAAAGCAGTGTTGGTGAGGATGCAGAGAAAGTGCAACTTTCACTCTTTGCTGATCAGGATGTAAATAGTTCAACTACTTTGAAAATAGCTTAATAACTAATTATAAAGTCAAATATAACATTTACTATATAACACATCGGGCCCAGTAATTCCACTGCTAAGTATGTACCTAATGGAAACACATGTCCATAAAAAGACTTCTGTACAAATGCTCATCACTGCTTTGTCCAAACCTGGACACAACCCAAATGTCCATCAGTAGTGAATGGACACAAGCTGTGATATCCACACGAAATGGACTACAGCTCAACAATAAGAAAGATTACCTGTAATAACACTGATGAGTCCCAAAAGCATTCTGTAGCAGGGGGAACGCCTGAAAAAGATTACAACTGTGTAATTCCATTTGTCAGAACTTCTAGAAACGGCAAACCTGATCTACAATGACTGAACACAGAGTGCCAGGCCAGGAAAGAAAGCTGAGGGAAGAGGAGGAAGAAGGGATTAACTACCAAGGTGCTTAGGTTGTTTTTGTCAAATACTCTTACAGGTAGTGGACTATGCCAAGGTCATTCAACCACGTTTCGATGAAGCCCGGGAAGTCCTAATAAAAAACACCATAGCTGAGGCCACCAAAGCAGCTATTAAAGCTGTGAAAGAAAAGCTTCTCACAGAGCTACAAGCCAAAAAGCAAGGTGAACCATTTTTTTAAGTGTGTGATTTAAATTTCAGTCAACTATTAAGCCTGGCTACTTAGGGCAAGGGCTTTCTTTTGCATATCCTGGTATCCTAGGCACTGTGCCCATTAGTTTGCAATCTCTTAATGAATGGTTAAAGGAATGAAATACATGAATTGATTCATAAGCAAAAAAAAAAAATCAGTTATATGCCTTTAAGGAAAGGAATGAGAAGGTGCTCCTAAATTTGAAGGATTTTAGTGTTATGGGTCCACTTACCAGGCAGAGACTGTTTGAGCAGTGTTTTACACCTTAATCTACACTGGTAGCTGAAACAACAGCAGGAATCTACACAACTCTTTGGGAGTTTTTTGTTTTAGGCTTACATGTCATAGCCATGATTATAATGAAATCTTTCTATTTGGAAAATATTAACTTCAAATTCAAAAAGTCATAAAGTAGCAAAACTGGAAGAATTAGTGACTTATACATGGAAAACGAGGTTCATGGAGAATGCCTCTAAAAATCACCCACTGAGGCTGGGCACAGTGGCTCATGCCTGTAATACTAGCTACTCCAGAGGTTGAGATCAAGGGGATCATGATTCAAGGCCAGCCCAGGCAAAAAGTTAGAGAGACCCCCCATATTAACAACAACCAAAATAGCTGGGTGTGGTAATTCACAGCTGTAGTCCCAGTGACTCAGGAGGCACAAGTAGGATTGCGGTCCAGGCTGGCTCAGCAAAAAAATCAAGAGACCCTGAAAAGTAACTAAAGCAGTAAGGGCTGGGGGCATGGCTCAAGTGAGAATCTGTCCACCAAACAAAAGGCTCTGACTTCAAACCCTGGTACCACCAAAAAGAAAGTATCTATATATACACACACATATACACATATGTTGTGTACATATATAGTATATATATATAGAGTATTGTACATATATATATTGTATTGTTATGGTATATTCTTATAACATATTTTCACTTTTGTTTATTTAGAATTTTTTTTCCTCTCCAAGTGTAATTGGCTTATGGTACTCTTGTGCTCTATTTGTCAGATTTTGTTATTTTTTTTTTAGATTTTTACATAAATTAGGAGGCTTCTTAACATTTTCTATGCTTGAAATTAATGGAAAGAAAATTACCTCTTCCCACCTGAGTTTTCACTAGACAAAACACGTTATTTGCGGAGTAATTCTGCCTCTGTTCTTTCTGACTGGCCTATGAACAGGAAAAAGAATCCAACATGGTTCCCAAACAACAGGGTTACAAATAACAACAAAAAGCAGCTCTGAGATTGCAAGCCATCCAAAGACCATCCAGATGATCTGGAATGAAATTATAACTGTAGTATATTATCTTCAAAATGAAAATATTTAAAAAAACAATCACAGACAGCTTAGAGCTGATGCTGGAGAAATAATTGACTCAGACTATTAAGATATTTATCTTGTTCCATTTGAAGGATGGACAAATGAACATATTAATTCATTCAACAAATACATGAATGCAGTAAACCGATCTGTTTTGTAGATTTATTACATGACCATGAGCAGCCAAAATATAATAAAGTCAAAAGAAATTTCAAAGAAATGTTAAATTCCCGCCTGCATTAGGCAGCGCAGTTGATGTGGACAAGCTCTCAGTGGCGGGTTAATTTTCAGTTGTGTTTAAATTGTTAGTTTCCCTGCTCTTCATTTTGTGACAATAAGCCTCCCAAAAAGCAAAGGGTGTCCAAAAGCAAGGCACAAGTTGCCTGTGCTTAATTCAACAGGGTGATCCAGTGAGCATTTGAGACGAGTTGAAAGACACCTGTCTTTAGCAGAAGTCGGCAGCGTTAGGGGAAAATGAACCAAGCATCCGCAAGGAGTAGAGCGCTGAGCTCCGCGTCCTGCGCATGCGCAGTTCTTCCTTAATGGCGGCCTCCTTGGACCCATAGACTGGCCCAGGGTCTACTGTACCTACTTTGTGTGACTCATGATTTTAGGCACTGTGGATACAGAGGTGTGCAAGGCACAAGAAGCGCCTGTTTGTGGGGCTTACATTTTCAGTCAAAGATGCAGGGGCAAAGAAAAGGCCAAATGAATAGATGGAAAAATATAAATAACATGGTAAGGGGGCAGACGGGATGGGTAGTGTAGGGATGACCTCTCTGAGGAGGGGACACGTGACTGAGACCCAGGCCCTAACAGGAAGCTGCCCAGGCTTCTTACCATCTGAGTAATTCCTTCCACATGGTTGCGGCATGAAGTCACAGACTTTAGAGCTTTTCCTAAGTTGCTGTGCCTTACCAGAATCTACAAGAGGATGCATCCCTCCTAAGCTGCGAACTTGAAAGCCTCTTTCTATTCCTTTTTCAAAATCACTGATTATTCTAAATCTGACAACAGAGTTAGCCCTTCTTTAAATTTAAAACATTGAAATTTTTTTTTACTGTTGACTTTTATCCCAACATATTTTAAATAAAATTTGACAATGGAGAAATTGAGGTTTTTGTAATATAAAAATATATAATAAAACAGATGCTAGCAGCCAATGTCGAGCAGGCTTCCTGTCTGCCAAGCATTTAATTCTTACAGTAATGCTTTTAAATTCAGTGAATCTCATTTGCTTGGTAGACGTTGAGACAAAGAGCTCAATGAGGTACCAAAGCCCACAGCCCTTACCTGACAGTCCGAACTCAAACCACTTATGTCTGACTTTAAAGAAGGGCTTTTTATTTACTTATTTATTTATTTTTGGTGGTACTGGGATTTGAACTCAGAGCATCATGTTTGCTAGGCAGGCCCTCTGCTACTTGAGCCATACCCCCAGCCCTTTTACTTTATTTTTCAGATAGGGTCTCACATTTTTACTGGGGCCAGCCTGGACTTGAATCCTCCTACCTATAGCCTCCCTAGTGGCTGGGATGATGTTAGGTGTGCACCACCATGCAGGGCTTTTTGGTTGAGATGAGGTTCTTGCTAACTTTTTTCACTGGCTGGCCTTCAGTCTCAATCTCCCCCTTCTGAATAGCCAGAATAATGGGCATGACCCACTCTGCCACCTGCTGGTCAAAGCAATGCCTGTCAATCACTTCACTTGCCTCCTCATCCCCAACTACCTTTTCCTAACACAGTCAATTATTATCTTCCAGCTGAGACAGCATTAAGAGAATTTCAAAAACAATATGGACAAAAAGAGGTTGAAGAACCTCCCGAGGATAAAGAGTTGCAATCTTCAATTGATGAAGAAGGTAAAAAAAGAAATACAGTACTGGTGTTATTGACCAGATCTCAGCTAATAGGTGAGCTCGTAGTGTATGCTTTTCTTTTGTTGCAGAACGTGGTCAAGAATCCTCAAAAGGCAGTTTATTAGAGGACACTGAAGAAGCCACATCCAAGACAGAGGCTGCCCTCGATCAAGCTCACAAAGATGGTAACAAATGAACACTGATGGCGCACATCTTATTTCCATTTATTTTATACTTGACCATGTTATTGAAGGTTAAAAATTACCACAAAAGAGTTGAAAACTTCAGAAGAAAAGAATAACTTTGCTCTTACAGATTTCAACCAAATAGCTATAGGACAGACATAGATTTACTATGATGAACAAGAAAACATAGAGAATGAGGAGTCAAATACATATAGAGGACAGGAGTGGCTCAAGTGGTAGAGCACCTGCCTAGCAAATGCAAAGCCCTAGTTCAAACCCCAGTACTTCCAAACACAAAAACAAAAACACAAGTAGAGCCCAAGGAAAAATTTTTAATATCTTCAGATATTATCTGATCATTATCATATAATTATGAAATCTTTCTTAAAAGCTCCCTACTTCCTTTAATGTGTTGGAATCAGATCATCGTAAAACTATAAATTTTGTTGTAAAAGTTTATCATTTATCCATTGTGGTATTTATGCTTATAAAATTTTTCTGTTCATATTTTAACACGTCTGAGAGCAAATAGCTCTACATTATGTAGCATATATGTGTAGAAATTATATAGACTATATACAGACACAATTCTTTAAAATCTGATATCATTACATGATAGCTATAATGTAAACTACTTTGGCCTTTTTGACTTACAGTGTACCATTTAATTATTTTACTTTATTAGGAAATATTTTACCTTTATTTTAAATTGCCACACAATTTTGGTATGAGTAGGTAATAGTTTTAACCAATTCTTAATATTAGAAATTTCGCTTACCTTTTTTGTTACTATAAATAATGTTTCAATGGATTTTTAATGTAAGCTTTTGCCTATCTGCTGATGTAAGTATAATTATTAGAATAATGAATATGAAGCAACAGAGTCAAATTACTTTGCATAAAAGTTTTCCAAATTATGTTCTCCTTGGTAATTCACAAAATGTGTCATTGTTACCTCAGTATTTTTTCATAAGGGTCATTTTAATTTTTACTTCTGAAGTTTATTGTTATTTCTTCTTTTCTTAGGTGACATTTTAACTTTTGCCCATTTTTCTAAATTATGCTATTGATTACATTATTGCAGAAGTATTGTCCGATGAGAAACCAAGCAACACTCGGAGAAGTAGGAGAACTCGGTCTTTATTTGACACTGGCGGTTCCAGATAGCTCACACTCAAAATTCTGGGCTCCAAGCAGTGAAATCACAGGATTCACTGTGATTTCACTCTCTTTGTCCATGTATGGGCTGTCAAAGGTACAGGGAGGGTCTGAGTGTTAGGCACTATGTTTATCTGGGGGTGAGGAATGCTAATGTGCAAATGCCTTTCCAGTTAGCTGGCAAGCACTGGTAAACAAGGGTCCCACATACAAAGATGGTTCCTGGGCTGTCAACTGTACATCTAATGGCAGTGGCTGTACAGTTTTGGATTTGGGCACATTGGCTAGCAGCCAGTTCCCCCATACTACACTGGACAGTATCCTCTTGAATTGTAGATACAATTAGGGCCTTTGAGATAGCTGTGTATTGCTTACTTTGGGATTCGTGCTGCTAGAGTTCGGAGTAGCATCATGCACGCTCTGGCTAAGGGGGCTCACCAGGGCCGCTACATAATGGAGAGGACCTGAGGACAGGCAGAGCCAACAATCACCCACCAATGGTGCGTACATAAAATTAAGGAGGCAGTGAGTTGCATTTAACAACCTGTACAGTTGGGGTTCCAAGTTAATGTTCCCTGTCCTGGAAGAAGCCTTAATGGGTCATGGTGATGGCAGATCAATGTCTTTTATAGGCTCATAGCCATCTAGTTAATTGTCTTTGGATGGCCTCTCTGTATCTGCAGCTTTTCCCTCTGTAGACTGACATGGGGACAGGTTGGGGAGGGTGCCCAGATATAATGAGGTTTATTTCCTCCCCCTGTCATTTCATCGTTCCATGCCTTTAAGGGATCCCCGTCTTTCTTCCAGCAAACCATCTGCCTTATAGTGCCTTTGTTCTTGCAGGACCCTATCAGGCCTGTCAGTTTTCCTTTGTAGTAAATTTTCCTTCCTCTGGTACATTCAGAAATTGATATGCTGCATGCAGGTGACAGGTATTAATAATAGGTGAAGGCATGTTACAGTTTTCCCTGGAAGGAGAGCGGTTTTAGGCAAGCTGAGCAGTTAACCCAGCCTCTAGATGGGACAACCTTAAAACGTAATAGAGTCAGAAGGCAAAAGCATATCAGATGCCTCATGCCTAAGACTGCAGTCTGGGCTACAGATAGCATCGAACAGCAGTAAGGTTCCTACTATGAGGAGATAACAGGAGGCCAGCAATACAATTTGGCCTATGTTCCAATCCTGGGGAGCAGTGACGACCTAGTCCTAGTAAGAACAGGGTTGCAACAATGCTAATAAGCAGAGTGGGGTAAGGGTAGAAGAAAGGGGAATACATTTATGCCCTGGTGGGTGAATCCTCAGGCTTTCACTGTGTGTTGACCAACCAGCTTCCAGGAGGTGGCTGAAGCAGGGCTGGACCTTTCTCAGGCAATAGTGTGCTGTTGTGACGTCCTCTGGAACCTCAATTTGAGGGGGTTAGTTGGATCACGGACAGCCTGCCATTCGTTAGGGTCTGCAGGGGCTGCTGCCTTCTTTATCCCAGAGTGATGAACCCAGGGAGTGATACCTGTAACTTTAACAACCGTGGGAGTTGCTAATATTACTAGATGGGGACCTGTCCAACTGGGTTGAAATGGTTCTTTTTTCCGATCTTTTACCCGTATCATATCCCTGGGTTGGTGGGGATGGGCCCAGTTACCCATGGGGATTGTGATCCTTTCTAAGACTTTCCAAGAGATGTGGTGTAGGGTTTTTCCTAGGGCTTGGAGATGTTGGGACATGATTTCCAATTTGCCTGAGGTCCCCTCTAAGCCTGTTTACTATGGGAAGGGGTCTGCCATAGAGACTCTGAAAGAGTGAGTAGCCAGAGGGTCTAGTGGCACAGCATGCTCTGAGCAAGGCCAATGGTAGCATGTCTATCCAGGGGGATCGTGTTTCTTGGCAGAGTTTGGCTAAACTGGTCTTGATGGTCTGATTCATGTGCTCTACTTTCCCTGAACTCTGAGGCTTGTATGCTGTGTGGAGCTTCCATTTTATTTTCAAAATTTTATCCTGGCCCTGAACTATTTCCGCCATGAAGGCTGGTCCGTCGTCTGACCCAATAGGAAGGTGGCAGCATGCTGGGAATGTATGGCAGGGGCACAAGTGGCTCATCTTCTGGATCCCTTGCAAAACAGGCTTGGTCAGCTTCTGGTCTTTAGGCTTCATTACCTGAGCCACAAAAACTCTGCTTTGTCCCTTTTTGTTGGCACAGAATCAGACCCAAGGGAGCATGTCCAAGCCACCTGAAGCCAGGAGTTGATATAAGGGAACTGATCTGGGAGTCTGGGGGTTCCTATTATGACCTGATAAATGCCCCTGACAGTGGGCAATTCTAGGGTACCTTCAGGAGGCCAGTTGACCCCAAAAGTGGGCCACTCTAATTCACACAGTGTGCGCAGCTTTCCAGAGACATTTTGATCCTATAATCTCCTGAGAATCCCTACTTAAAATGTTTAAGCATACAGGAGGATTCAAGATGGTGAGTAGGGTACAGAAACAGACAGCCTAACCTCTGTGACTCTAACATCTCCCTGAGAAGTTGGAGCCACACCTGGGCAACTCTGACTGCTTCTAGCCAAAATAATAACTGCCATCACACTAAGTGCAGGAAAAAATTCAAAGACTGACCCACAAATCAATGGTGGGGTCAGCCTTGTGACTCTGGATTGGGTTGCCCTGACACTGCCCTAAACTGTATGAGAATTACCACAGAACTGCAGGACAGACCCACTCGGTCTTCATAGCTTTTCAGCTATGGAGCCACAAACTCAAGCCTGAAACAAGGACAATCAGGCCACTCATTTACACACACATTCACACCAGAAGTTATTTCAGTTTTTCCTTCCCCCTTTTGGGGAAGTCCCTGGCCTGTGGAATTCCTCTCGGAGATTCCCAGTTGATCAGACTCCCCTTCCACCCTGACTGAGGGCTGACTTTTCCCCTGGGGCTTACCAAGTCTGGATGAAATTGCCAGGTGAGTTGGTCCACTTCTTTTTGGAGTCCAGTCGAGGCAAGAGTACTCAGAGGGTTGGAACTCCAGAGTGAAGGCGGACCTGGAATACCATCAGGTGGTGTGCCACCTCATTTGGTCCCGAGTCCCTCCCTACTCTGGTACAGCCCAGCTGCCAGCCAGTGGCTCAAGGGACCAAAATGGTTGGAATGTCCCTGGGGCCTCCAGAAATGTTGCAGAAATATTGTCTGATAAGAAACCAAGCAACACTCATAGAAGCAGAGAACTCAGACTTTATTTGATGCTGGCAGTCCCAGATAAGGTCACACTCAAAATTCAAGCAGTGAAATTACAGGATTCTTATAGGGCAGTGCAGGAAATCAGTTACAGAGAAAGTGCTGGTTGCTAATAGGTGGGCTCACATTGGTGGTTAGGGATGGAGGCTGTTTAGGTGGGAGTAGTGGGGAACCTGTGTCAGGAAGTCTGTTAACAGAAGGAGACAGAGAAAGGCAGGAATGGGTGGTTATCTCTGTGTGGGGCCTTTTACCTTGGCCTTGGACCCATTTTACGGCTTAACTAGCAACTTCTTGTGTCCTTATAACCTGCTTTAGGGTGATCTTCTGTTCAACATGATCTCTGTATAAAGTTTCTATATTAGCCTCTTATTTTTCATATTTTTTTCTATTGAGTAGTTTATCTTCTACATTATCAAGAGGAATTTTTCATAGTTTTTGTGATCAAATTGATTTTTTTCTTTACTTTTAAACTAACAGTCTTCCTCTTAGTCGGAAATTTAACACGTGTGCATATATGTTTGTGTATGTTTGTGTGCGTGTGTTCTTATATTCTGGGATGGTTTTTTTGAGGGGAGAGGGTCCAACCTTTTTGTATTGTTTTAAGTGCATGTATAATTTGAGGGGGAGGATACTGGGATTTGAACTCATGACTTCAAGCTTGCTAGTAAGAGCTCTACTGCTTGAGCCTTTGTATTCTGGTTATTTTGGAGTTAGGGTCTTGCTTTTTTCCCAGGCCAGCCTGGACTGCGATCCTCCTATTTTGTGTTTCTCTCTGAAGCTGAGATGGCAGGTATACAACACTACATCAGCTTTTTCCTTTGAGACGGGATCTTGCAAATTTTTTTGCCTGGGCTGGCCTGGAACTGTGATCCCAACCTCAGCCTCCTGCATAGCTTGGGATGATAGGTGTACCCAGCCATTGGTTGAGGTGAGGGTCTCAACTTTTTGCTTGGGCTGGCCTCGAATTGCAATCATTCTGATTTCACCTTCCTGAGAAGCTAGGATTATAGGTGTGAACCACTGCCCCAAACTATAATTTGTTTTGATATAAAATGTAGAGTTGATTTAGGGTGGGGGGGTTCCTCCTAATGATTCATACACATGTGCTTTTCTTGCTATTTATTTCAAACCTAGAAGGAATTGACTGGGCACTGCCAGAAACTCTTGTGTGACACCCTCCTCTCCAAACATGCACATGCACATATGTTCTTCACAGAAAGCAGCCCTGTACATTTCAAATGTTTGGCATCGAATAGCAACTGAGAGCCCTTACAGCTATGGAGTTCCCAACACCAGTCAACAAACAGTGGCCCTCTCCAGACTGTCTGCTTCTTCTGTTGGGGAGGCAGTCCAAGTTAGAGGCAGGCATCAGCACCTCTACCCTCTGTGGATGGGATGCCAGTTTTGCCAGTCTACCTTAGTTTAAAACGTTAAATTCCTTCCTTGTCTCATGGCTCAGAGAAGCACCACCTCTGGGAGTTCAGGACTGTTGCCAACCTCAGAAAGGGGACCCTTCTTTTTTTTTTTTTTTCAATTTAGATCTACTGGCATTGTATTCAGCTGAAAATACTTCTAGTTTTGCTACAGGTTAAGTTGTTATCTTTGTTTCCCCTGCTGACTGTTTACCTATTTGAATGTCATAATTCTTATGTTAACTAAAACTTGAGACCATAACCTGGGTCCCTGGGCCTGTACCACCATCTTCTTTTGGAATCTAATTCCATGTTTCTTTAATACTGTTCTTTAGCTGCTAACAATATTTTATTCACAGAGGAAAAACAAATCAGTGAAGCATCCACACTTAAAAGGAGTTCTCAAGATTTGAGTCTAGATGTAATGTTGGATTCAGACAAAGGTAAATTAATATTTGGGTTATTGGTTCTCTAGTATGTACTCCTAAGAAACACAAGAATTTAGAAGAAGTGTGTGGTTCTTTTTTTAAAAGCACTGTTATTGCCCGACTTACTCTATCTCTAAGCGTACTGAATTAGGATCAGCTGACACTCAGGAAGAATAGCACATGACACAGTTTTGGTGAGAAGAGTTTTGGGAAGAAAGGCATTCTCTCTCTCTGTTCTGCCATTCTTGGCTTGTAGCTGCCATACTAATTCATAGGATGGCTGTTCCCATGTCAGTGTACCTAGCAGGAAGACGGTAAAAAGCAAGGGAGAAAATCTGATAGTCTTCTCAGCTAAGTTAACACGCTTAAATAGATGACAGGAATGTAATTTTTCAGCTGGGCACATTGCTGGCCTTGGCCAAAATCAGAGTCCTGTTACAAAGGAAGAGAAAATCAGGTGTCCAGTGAACTTCCAACTTGTACATTTAGCACTTGCAAGGCTATTTTTGCCTTACTGTGCTTCCTTCTCCCATGGCTATAGGAAGATCATGGGTTCTTGACTTTTGAGCTCTGGTTCTCTGGAAAAAGTGTCTCTTTCCATCCCAGAGGACACTTTAAGCCAAGTAGGGCAGCAGGCAGCTGCTCTTTGAAGGTTCTTTGGGGTTTTCCTTAGCTGAGATCAACTGGGTTCTTGACAGAGCCCCTGAAAGTTGAAGTCCTGGGGCAGTGTAGTCAGAAGCAGAACCAGAAATGCAGAAGCAGAGGGGCCAGGTAAACTGCAGGAGTGGATGAACATTTAAATCACCCCGCCTGAGTCTGAGAGCCAAGTCAGTCCACCCAACCCAGCCATGCAAGGAGACACTTCCACCACAAATAAGAGCAAACATCAAGGGCAACACTTGACAAGCAACTTGCCTACCTTGGATCCTCTTACTGTCTCCTCTTGTCTCATGTTTGTAACAGGAGGTATTCATCTTTTCTTCTGGCTCAGTCACTCCCTTGAGGCCTGCATCTAGTTTGACTCATGGAATCTCTGGTCCTGTGTCTCCTCCCTGGCTTCCTTGGCTTTAGCTCTGGCCTGACATGACTTCTCACCTCATGTACAATGTCATTACATGTGCCACTGGCTTGAAGTCACTGCTCTGCTAGTGTGTGATTCTGTGACTCCTGACTGAACATTTCTTCTCCCTAGTTTTGTTTCTCCCTTCCCTCAGCATATGCTGTACTAATACAAGATAATACTTTCCTTAGGTCAGGTAGTAACAATCTCGTTTTGCTGGGCACTAGTGACTCATGCCTATAATCCTCACTACTCGGAAGTGGTCACTGCCTGAGGCCAGCTTGGGCACATAGTTCTCAAGAGCTCCTCTCCAAAATAACCAGGGTAAAAATGGACTGGAAGTGTGGCTCAAGCAGTAGAGCACCTGCTTTGCAAGCATGAAACCCTGATTTAAACCCCAGTCCCACAAAAAAAAGTCACATTTTATTGCAAATAGCATTATCCACTACAAGTATTAATGCATTCATTAACTCATTCTACTTTAGTCCCACTAGAAGATGCAATAGAAGAAGTATCTGTAAATCATCCAGAGGTTGTTTCCATACTGGAGGAGACCCTAAAACGCTCAAAGGATGTGAACTTTGAACAACCTTATGAAAAATATGCTGAAATCCTAGATGAAGTCCTCAAAGAGGTAAGAACAACAACAACAAAAAAAACACAGCCTATTAGTTTTTATCATCTACTTAAAAATTAAGAAAATGTTAATGTATATACATAACTATTTACTGTACTGAAATGTGTAACCTTTAAATTCACAAACATTTACTAGTCAACATTAACATTTTGTGTGAAGTACCCCAGTGGATAATTGCTGGTGCTTTTTGGTAAATTTTCAGTTAACAAAATTCTGTGATACAGTTTCATGGCTTTGAAATTAATTCATTAGCTGTGATTATCTTTGATTCAGTCCAGTTACTTAAAAGATTGTTCATCTGAAACCAGTACCAAAGTTAGATTATTTTATCTATGAGCTACTTAGTCATAGTCTGAGACAAATTTTGCCCCATGGCTAACAATTTTCAGTCACCTCGAACAAGCATTCATAGGGGAGATGTGTGAACATATGAGTAAGTTTTCAATCCAAGGAGGGAAAAAGCCTCAAGTAGTATATTGTATCCATGTCAAATCAGAATGCTTGTCTTTCATTTGTAAAGGGCAAGATATGCACAGGGTCTGTTTTTTACAGAGATCTTAGATAAGTATTCAAAGCAAAAGTCCAAGACAAAATGAAGCCATTTTGGACTCTCCATGGATCTATCTACTTCCTTGTGATTTAGCATACAATGATTCTGTGAGAGTACAGAAACCTCTGTAGCACATTGGATGGCTTCCTTGATTCCCCCTGTACGAGTCCCCTGATGCTTCCATACAGACCCTTTACAGTCTTATGCATCTCTTTTGGTTGTTCTGGCATTAGCATTTTCCTTCACAAGCATGGTGAGCACTGCACCTGCTGTTTGCCCTGAGCTGTGTTAGACACTAGGGATCTGAGGATAAATTAAACACAGCCTTTTTTTATTTCCAAATGTATTTCAAGATTGACTTTTATATTTCTGTGCAGAATGTCATTGGAATTTTGATAGGGATTATGCTGAACATATAGATTGCTTTTGGTAGCATGGCCATTTTCACAATGTTGATTCTACCAATCCACGAGCACTGAAGGTCTTTCCATCTTCTGATGTCTTCTTCAGTTTCTCTCTTCAGTGATTTATAGTCCTCATTAAAAAGGTCTTTGGTTTCTTTCATTAAATTTATTCCAAGGTGTACTTTATTGTTTTTGAGGCTATTATAAATGAGATTGTTTCCCTGATTCCCTTCTCCAGCTGTTCATTGTTGGTATATAGGAAGGCTACTGATTTCTGTATGTTAATTTTGTATCCTGCTACTTTGCTGAAAGAATTTTTGATTTCTAATAGTTTTTTGGTAGGGTTTTTAAGGTAGCTTAGGTATAGGATCATGTCATCTGCAAAAAGGGATAGTTTGACTCCTTTCTTCCCTATTTGAATCCCTTTTATTTTCTTGTTCTTGTCTTATTGCTCTGGGTAGGCATTCCAAAACTGTATTGAGTAGGAGTGGAGAAAATGGAACCCCTGTCTTATTCCTGACTTTAAGGGGAACAGTTTCAGTTAGTATCCATTCACTTAGTCTCCATTTAGTATGATGTTGGCTGTAGGCTTGTCATATATAGCCATAAATAATTATGTTGAGAAACATACCTTCTATTCCTAGTTTCTTCAGAGTTTTTATCATGAAAGGGTGTTGGATTCTGTCAAAGGCTTTTTCTGCATCTATTGAGAAGATCATTTGGTTTTTGTCCTTTCTTCTGTTTGTATGCTGTATTATGTTTATGGATTTACATATGTTGAACCACCCTTGCATCCCTGGAATGAAACTGACTTGGTTATGGTGTATAATCTTTTTGATGTGTTGTTGAATTCTGTTTGCCAATATTTTCTTAAGAATCTTTGCATCTATATTCATTAAAGATATTGATCTATAATTTTTTTTCTGGTTATGTCTTTATTGGGTTTTGGAATGAGTGTAATGCTGGCTTCATTGAATGAGTTTTGTAGTGTTCCTTCCCTTTCTATTCCCTGAAAAAGTTTGAGGAGTATTGGTGTTAGTTATTCTTTAAAGGTTTGTTAAAATTCAGCCATGAATCCATCAGGTCCTGGGCTCTTTTTTTTAGGGATGCTTTTTATTACTGCTTCAATTTCATTGCTTATAATAGAACTATTAAGGTGTTTAATATCTTCTTGGTTCAATTTTGGTTGGCTATATGCATCTAGGAATTTATCCACCTCATCTAAATTTCACAAAAGACCTCAAATAGTCAAAGCAATTCTGAGCAAAAAAGTCCAGTGCTGGAGGCATCACAATACCTGACTTTAAATTGTATACAGAGCCACAACAAAAATACAGCATGGTATTGGCACAAAAACAGACAGGAAGACCAATGGATCAGAATAGAAGACCCAGACTTATATAAACCCATGCATCTACAGCCAACTGATATTTGACAAAACAGCCCAAAACATATGATGAAGAAAAGACAGCCTCTTCAATATATGCTGCTAGGAAAACTGGATGCCCACACATAGAGGATTGAAACCAGATCCCTGTACCAAAATCAACTCAAAGTAGATCAAAGACCTTAATATAAGTCCTGAAACTTTGAAACAACTCCAGGAAGCAGTAGGAAATACACTGGATCAGATAGGTATAGGGAACAGCTTCATATACAGAACTCAAAAGGCTCAGCATCTAAGAGAAAGAATGGACAAATGGGACTGCATCAAACTAAAGAGCTTATTCACAGCAAAGAAAGTAGTCACTAGACTTAAGAGACAGCCCACAGAATAGGAGAAAATCTTTGCCAGCTGCTCATCCAATATGGGACTAACATCCAGAATAAGCAAGGAACTCAAAAAACTCAGCCCCCAAAGAATCAACACCCCAATGAAGAAATGGGCATATGAATTAAACAAGGAATTCTCAAAGAAAGAGGTACAAGTGGCCAGTAAATACATGAAGAAGTGTTCAACTTCCCTGATGATAAAAAGAGATGCAAATCAAAGCACTTAGATTTCATCTCACCCTAGTTAGAGTGGTCATAATCAAAGGTAACAACAACAAATTCTGGTAAGGATGAAGTGAAGCAGGAATTCTTATACTCTGCTGGTGGGAATGCAAATTAGTACAACCACTATGGAAAGCAGTATGGAAATTCCTCAAAAAGCTAAAGATAGAACTGCCATATGATCCAGTGATCCTGCTCCTGGGCATCTACCCAAAGGAACATAAGGAAGGATACAGTAGACACATCTGTACATCGATGTTCATCACAGCATGATTCACAATAACCAAGCTTTGGAAACAACCCAGGTGCCCTATGGCTGATGAATGGATCAAGAAAATATGGTTTTATATACACAATGGAGTATTACTTAGCCATAAGGAGTAATGACATGTGGCTTGAAGGTAAATGGATGCAATTGGAGGACATCATGTTAAATGAAGTAAGCCAGGCTTAGGAACACAAAGGCCACATGTTTTCTCTCATACGTGGAAGACAGATCCAAAGATAAACATATACACAAAAATAAGCATGATCATATACAAACTCAAATGTAGAACATGTTTGTGATAGTGGAACTACTCTATGTAACTCAGGGAAAGAGGGAAAGGAAAAGAATGCTAGAGATGATAGAACATCAGTAATATCATATAACATAAAATGTAAGGTAGAGGATACAAGGATGTGTATTGAAAGCTGTTGAAAAATGGAGGGTGGGAGGTAAAGGGGTAAGGGAGAGCAATGGAAGGGGTTGAACAGATCAAAGTAAAGTACACCCACAGTGGACATACATTGAGACACCCCTTTGAACATCAACTTATATATTAATAATGAAAAATAGGACTATAAAATAGGTACAGTGGGGGGAGGGGTACTAGTGGGAGGTCTCATTTCTTAAGAGACCAGGGACCTGTGCAAGAAACAAGTAGCTAGAGATAATGATTTTGTGAAGCGCCTGCCCTTTGGGAAGTCATTTGCCTGGGTTTTATTTTTTATTGGGTTATTTGTTTCTTGTTTATTTCTATTTCTTTATGGGTTCTGAAGAGTAGTCCTTTGTCACATATAAATGTCTTCTAATATGTTGGGGATGGAGTTCAGCAGTTGCCTAGATGCATAAGATCCTGGGTTCAATCCCTAACACCACCTAAGTAAATAAAGTGTTTTCTAGCTTGAATGATGGCAGCTAGTCTTAATGAAGATCAATTTACTAACTTTTATTTTACAGTTAGTGCTTTTTATGTGCTATTTCAGAAATCTTTGCCCAGAGTTTCTCCTGGAAACTTTGCTTTATTTTACATATTTCAATCTAAAGTCATTTTTTTTTAAAAAAATGAGGATATGCATGATAGGAGCACAAACTCTTTTTGGAAATCGGTTGGCATTACTTTTAAAAGCATGCATACGTATCCTCAATTATCCCCCTCTTGGCACATATGCAGATAAACTGCATTTGTGCCCTAAGGACTTGTTTGTGGGTGTTGACAGCATTGCTGTGACAGCAAATGCCTGGAAATGACCCTTAGTGTCTGCTGTGGTGGTCCAGATATACAGATTTGAACATGTAATTTATATATTGTGTACAAACAGAAGAAATATATGAAATTTTGTGTAACAGTGCTGTATAGCAGTAAAAAGGTGTAACTACAATAAGATGCATGGGTACAGAGGAATACCACAAATACTATTTATTTATTTTGGAATTAATTTTATTTTCTAAATTGACATATGTTTGTACTGATCCCACTGTGTGGGTACTGTGTCTAAAGTCATTTTGAATTAGTTTTGTGTATCAAAAAAATCCAAATGACCGATAAGCACATGAAAAGGCACTCAGCATCATTAATCAACATAGCTGGGATATAGCTCAGTGGCAGAGTGCTTGCCTAGCATGTGTGAGGCCCTGGGTTCAATCCCCAGCACCAAACAAGAACAGACCAAAAAAAAAAAAAAAAGATAAAAAAATATAAACTTAAACAACCATGTATGGATCAAGGCTCCACTTTCCAATATGTCTGTCTAGTTGCTATAGCACATCCTTTCCCACTATCATA